TGGCTAGCGTCGGCGGGTTTAGCCTTCAGCTGTCGTCCGCTGCTAGCTGATGTGTAGCTATAGTTATTGCCTCCCAGTGGTGGAAAAAGTATTCAAATCTTTCAACGGTAAGTTGCATGCTCCATGTTGGAACGCTAATACGCAGTTTTTTGTCGGTGTTTTGTTTATTTATTATCATCAACAAATCTCCGTAATGTCAAAATAAGTGCAGACAGTGCCTTAACATAAGATCACCTACCGTTTTTATTTTGTTTGTTTTTCTATTTCAGAATCGCATCAATACTCGAACACTAGAAATACCTCTGAATTGCACACATCGCTAGCACCACTTCCACACACAGAGTTGTGCTTGATGCATACAGGACCGCCCTGTTGGAATTTTGAAGATGTGTCCCATTCTTTAAACCCCTCTGTTATCATCTCATTGTTCTGCCTGTCACTAGAATTCGCCGGTGTGGCTATTTGAACAATGATATATAACATACTGTTAATCAAAACATTTTTGACTGGTGAAGCGAAGTTGTATAATTTCCCAGTAATCTCTCACGCCACACTGATTGGGAATCGCCGCTGAATAGCGAGTGATGTGTAAGGTGTGTGTCTGTGTGTATAATTTTCCTAAAGACTCCCCTGTTTTGTACTGTCTGTCATTTAGATTCCTTGAGTGGTTTGAGAGCTCCGAGTGGCCCTCAAGGCAGCATGGCCCCCAAGGACATCATGACCAATTCCCATGCCAAATCCATCCTTAATGCCATGAACTCTCTCCGCAAGAGCAGCACACTCTGCGATATAACACTAAGGGTGGAAAATGCTGATTTTCCAGCTCACCGGATTGTCTTAGCAGCCTGCAGTGACTATTTCTGTGCCATGTTTACCAGTGAGGTAACTCCAAAGGGATTCCTAACATCTTTTTTTGGGGGGGGTTTGTTTTGGTAGATGTGCGATTTCACGAGCAGTTCAGAGTTTAAATGAGGTTGGATCTTAAAAAAACTGAAACAAAAAGATTGGCTGAAATTAAAGTTTCGATAAGCTTTAAAAGAAAAAGTACCTTTCCTTTTTTGGATTCAAAATGCCACAGACAGAGAAAACAAAAATGTTCTTCATCGCCGGAAAGAACAGTTTATTGTTACTGCTTTTTCCTTACAAAAATCAAGGAGTGGAACTCTCTCTTTTTTTTTTAAATTCAGATAGTTTTGCAGCCTGAAAGTTTGATTGAATCCCCAACATTAAGGGAACGTTTTGTCGGGTGGGGGCGGGGAAGATCAAATAATGTCAAGGCCCTCCCGCCCACAAGTACGAAATATGGCCTGCCCCAGAAGCACAAAATTCAATGAAATGTTCCTCTTCTTACCCCAAAATGTGCGTTAGCTTGCAGAGAAGGGCAAATCCTTCGTGGACATCCAGGGGCTGAGTGCGTCGACTATGGAGATCTTGTTGGACTTTGTCTACACAGAGACGGTGCTGGTGACGGTGGAGAACGTGCAAGAGCTGCTCCCTGCGGCATGCTTGCTGCAACTTAAAGGTCGGTGTTTCCACTGCGGTGACTCTCAGTTCTAAGTCGACGAGTTGAAAGATTGAAGCGCCTGCAGTGACTTCTTTGCTCTCCTCAGGGGTGAAAAGAGCATGTTGCGATTTTTTGGAGAGCCAACTCGATCCATCCAATTGTCTGGGTATCCGTGACTTTGCCGAAACACACAATTGCCTCGACCTGATGCAAGCCGCCGAGCTCTTTTCCCAGAAGCATTTCTCTGAGGTGGTTCAGCATGAAGAGTTCATGCTGCTGAGCCAGACAGAAGTGGAGAAGCTCATAAAATGTGACGAAATCCAAGTAAGGAAACAGAACGATGACAGGACAGAGCGCTGTTGCTGCACGTCAGAGAGAGCATGGGCCGCGTAACCTTTTTTGACCAATTCAATTCCATTCAAACCAATTCAACCTGTCATTTTTCTTGGCTGTGGAAAAAATAAGTACACGCGTCGGCGTCCGAGTGGCCGCACCAAAGCCGGCGGTTTCTGGGCGCAGGCAAAATCAATTTGGAACCATTTCGCCGTCCGATGCTCCATCTCAACCGAGCTTGAAATGGAACTCACAGTCGTGTCCGTTTCGCCGAGTTCGAATGGTTCTTCTGAAGGTGCTTTGTTTGCAGGTGGACTCAGAGGAGCCTGTGTTCGAAGCGGTGCTAAACTGGGTCAAACATAACCGAAAAGAGAGAGAGCCTTATTTGCCAGACATGCTGGAGTTTGTCCGAATGCCGTTGCTGACCCCCCGCTACATCACAGATGTCATCGATGCGGAGGTGAGACGCGCCGCCGCTTCTCGGGCGCGCGGAATTATCTGCCGGTGTCTTTGTCGGCGCGGCCGGCGCAGTCATCCGCCATCTGGCCCCCTTCTAGCCCCTGATACGCTGCAGTCTGCCCTGTCGCGACCTTGTTGATGAAGCCAAGAAATTTCACCTCAGGCCGGAGTTGAGGAGCGAGATGCAAGGCCCGCGCACGCAAGCGAGATTAGGCGGGTGTCTTGTTTTTACCTGCACTGCACCAACCTTGTTTGGCATTCACATGTTGAAGTCTTTCTCAATGTCCCCCCCCACCAGGTGCCAAAGAAGTCCTGCTGGTGATCGGCGGCTTTGGCAGCCAGCAGTCGCCAATTGACATCGTGGAGAAATATGACCCGAAAACTCAGGAGTGGACCTTCCTCCCGGTGAGTATTGAACCGGGGGGGCACGCATTCGGAAATTGTCAACCAACTCTCTATGATCCGAGCAATGACTTGATTGGAATGAACCAAAGCTAGCCCAAGGGGTATACGATGGTCACCTTTCTTCTGTCCCGATTTCCAAACGGGCTTCAGACCAGCGGGTTGGCAAAGAGGGACGCAGTTCAGGATTTCTACTCGTATTTCAGTGGCGCCGACATAAATGTTGATCCGTGGCCGGCCACGACAAATACATTTTTGCGTTATCCATCTGCCCTCACTCTGTGAATGAAGCGTTCATAAGACGTGCGACTCTTCTACATTCGGTTTACATACTGATCGGTGCGTGAAGGGATTTCAGTTGTGGGTATGGGTCGGGGGGTGAAGAAAATCAATATAGCCGTCCATCGTTTTTCACGGTTAATTGGTACATTTCTCAAGATTGCCTTCTGAAGAGAGGCTTGCGTCGGTGGCGTGGAAGGCGGCTCGGCTCTCACTTGGCTCGTTGACTTTTGGTTCACTCGAGACTCTTCTGCTGGAGGCGCTGATGGTGCAGCTGAGGTTTTTAAATTGGAGAAAAACGTGGCGATGGGTAGGGGCCATCTTGTGGACGCAGTTCAGGATTTCTACTCGTATTTCAGTGGCGCCGACATAAATGCTGATCCGTGGCCGGCCATGACAAATACATTTTTGCGCTATCTGTCTGCCCTCACTCTGTGAATGAAGCGTTCATAAGACGTGCGACTCTTCTACATTCGGTTTACATACTGATCGGTGCGTGAAGGGATTTCAGTTGATCAACAATTCTCTCAAATTTCTTGCTTTGATTTTGAGAGGAGTTTTCTATTGGTTAGTTAAAATGAACGCAGTCTCCAGACAACTAGAGATCAGCCTGCGTGCACTGTGTGTGGAGAATTATCAGGGTATATTGTCGTGGCCACGTTTTTCACCGTTAATTGGTACATTCCTGAAGATTGTCTTCTGAGAGAGGTGAAGGAAGAGGCTTGCGTCGGTGCCGTGGAAGGCGGCTCTCACTTGGCTCGTTGACTTTTGGTTCACTCGAGACTCTTCTGCTGGAGGCGCTGATGGTGCAGCTGAGGTTTTTAAATTGGAGAAAAACGTGGCGATGGGTAGGGGCCATCTTGTCTTCTTATTAGTTGAAATAGGTTTGAAGACAATGGTCTTTTTTTTTTTAAGTGAAGAAAACAACAGATTTTTCTTTGACTCCTATTATTACCTGCAGTCTTACCTGAGTCCATTTTGGGGAGATACTACCACACGTGTCCCCACAGGCCACCCGCGGTCTACAGTTTTATTTCATCCAGCCCACCGAGCACTGACACTATCGACAATTCTCCCAAATTTCTTGCTTTGATTTTGAGGAGAGTTTTCTATTGGTTAATTAAAATGAATGCAGCCTCCAGCCAACTAGAGATCAGCCTGCGTGCACTGCGTGTGGAGAATTATCAGGGTATATTGTCGTGGCCACTTGCGCTGTCTAACGACATCCTATTCGAGAGCTGCCTTCCCAAAGACTCTAAGGCTCCGTAGAGAAGGGACTGTCTTCATTTATCAATCCGTTTGTCATTGCACTGGAGTAGAGCGCCGCAACTGAGAGCTCCAGACTCACGCGCTGAACGTTTGACGAAGCGGCAAATGGCTTTCGCAGAACATCGCGAGGAAACGGCGCTACGTTGCCACGGTGTCTCTCCACGATCGAGTCTACGTGATTGGAGGTTTTGACGGACGGTCCAGACTCAGTTCCGTGGAGTGTCTGGACTACACGGCGGACGAGGATGGCGTCTGGTACACCGTCGCCACCATGAATGTGCGCCGTGGCCTGGCTGGAGCCACAACCCTTGGAGGTGAAAGCCTTGTGTCTTTTCTTCTCGAGGAGATTGACATTTATTGACCTCGGGCTAGGACATCACCTTTTTCACCCCGAGTCATTCATCACCAGAAAGAGAGGAAGTTGCGAAAACAATAACGCATTTGCACAGTTCTCCAAGCGAGAGGCTGAGCGTGCTTCAAGCTACTTGTCACTCCTTGTCTGCTGTAAAATTGACACATAAGACAAAGTAGAATGTGTCTTTTTAACACCAAATTGGTCAACCCAACCGTGTTTGATTAAAAAAAAGAAACCTGCGTGCCAATTGCTAAGCTAGTGCAAAAATCGTAGAAGGGCAAGGCGCATAGATGTGACAGCAAAACATACAAAGAGCACACAACGATACTCACAGGCATCGACGGGATTCTCTCTGCCTAGTGGGAGCAACGACTATGAGTGAAGGGAAGTTGCGAACCTTCTCTGCCTCTTCTTCTTACTGTTAATTGCATGCTGCATCTCGTCCACTAGACCCCAGGTGATGCCTGGCACTGCGCTACTACGCTAAAGGCACACAACTCTAATTTTGATTTGCTTTCCTGTGGTAAAGTAAATAACTATCCGTCGATAATTCAGATGTATTGAACATTAACGTGAATTAAAAATTGTCCCTCCGTGTTTAAAAAGAAACAGTTCTGAAGAAATGCAAATGTACTGGTCTTGAATGGCAAATGCACAATATTGGAATGTAAATGTCCTGTACTAGATTTTAAAAGAAAATAGTTGATGTCACTGTCACATTTTTCAGTGTGAATGTTTAATTTGGTTTATTTTGTGAGGGTGTGGGCGGGTGTGTGTGTATGGGTGGGTGTGTGTACCACCAGAGGGAGATGTTGAGACTCACGGCCGTCATTGGATTTTGATTGTCTTTCTCCAGTCGAGTCTCCGAACCATTTTTTGTTGTTGTTGTTGTTGTTGTACTCTTCTTGACTCAGACATGATCTATGTTGCCGGCGGCTTTGACGGCAGCCGACGCCACACCAGCATGGAGCGATATGACCCAAACATCGACCAGTGGAGCATGCTGGGAGATATGCAGACAGCTCGAGAAGGCGCCGGTCTGGTGGTGGCCAGCGGTCTGATATATTGTCTCGGTACGGACACCTCATTTCACTCCGTCACACTTACGAGGGCACTCACTCCATATTTTGATTGCCGTTTCCCGAAGGAGGCTACGATGGACTTAATATACTGAATTCAGTGGAGCGGTACGACCCCCACACAGGCCACTGGACGAGTGTCACCCCGATGGCCACCAAGCGCTCAGGTGAGTTTTTTCCCGGAGGTCTTGGTTGGAGCCGGTTGAGGTGAAGACGGACGGGTAACAACATCCTGCTTCCTCAGGGGCAGGCGTGGCTTTACTCAATGACCACATCTATGTGGTGGGAGGCTTTGACGGGGTTTCCCACCTTGATTCTGTTGAGGTCTATAACATCAGAACCGACTTTTGGACCACTGTGGCCAGCATGACCACACCTCGATGCTACGTGGGAGCGACTGTCCTCAGAGGACGACTGTATGCCATCGCCGGGTAAGGAGTGTCCTGGCTTATTGATCTCTGGTTAGTACCGTCACACGGGTCGACTGGTGAACGTCAGATAACGGCTGCTTGTGACGCCACATCTTTCTCACGGCCGCTCGTCATTTGCCGCTTCTCTTCATATTTGTTCAAAGGGCCTTCCTCGCCGTTTGTCTTTGCAGATATGACGGCAACTCTCTTCTCAGCAGTATTGAATGTTACGATCCCGTGATTGATTCCTGGGAGGTGGTTACCTCCATGGTGACGCAGCGGTGCGACGCAGGAGTCTGTGTTCTACGAGAAAAGTGACCTCGGCTTGAGAACTGCGTGAGCCGCAAGAGGGACGGCGCCGTGATGAAAAAGCAGGCAGCAAGACTTGAATGCGATGCCGCTTGAACAGACATTTGTTTAATTGTTCGGCGGCCCGATCAAGGGAATGTCCAAAATCACAGCTCTCATTCGCTGGACATTCAACCCTTAGCGCCGCTTCAGAGGTAGATGGGGGGGGGGGGGCCACGATTGATTGATCTACAGCGATCCCACCGCCATCTGCATGGCTCTCCTTAGTGCCATTTGTTACTGTTGTTACTTTGTGAGATTATATATTTGTACACATCCTCAGAAAGAGATGCTGCTAAATGCCTTATGACTAGCTTGCGTCGCATGGTGACCATTCATGCCGCCTCTCAGTTTGATGGGCCATTTGCTTGTTGTTGAGCATTTGCCGAGTTCCGAGCAACCCCCGTTATCATTCTCTTTGTAAGAATTGCCTTGAGACTCAGATCCCCTTCATAAAATGACTTTGTACACATCTGGACTAAGAGTTTGAGAAAAGAACTGAATCTGCTCCGCTTTAGTTGGATTCTTTTCTGCTTGATTAATGACCTCCATTTGAGGTACACGACATGTCTTTTGTTTCCCTTGAGCATTTCAATTTAAGGTCGTTTACTTCAATCAATACTGTTCCTCAGAAAGAAAATAAACCCACAAGAGAAGTGTAACATTGTATAATTTTTTTAGTGTATGAATGCTTGTCGAGTGGCGTGGGCACACCATCAGCGACTCCCAAGTTTCACTGACCTTGCTATAACTTTTGGTAATGCAGATTTGGTTCATGTTTTCCTTCCTATTAGGACAATAAGGCCGACGCTTTGATTTTGAAGGGTGCAGGGGAAAGGTGTCGTAAATCATTAGCCATTGACGTAAACAACTGTCGCACCCTCAGAGGTAGAGCCAACCCCGATGTGCGAAGCGGAAACGCGCTCGACTGTTAAAAAACACCAAACAAAGAGAAAACTGAAGGTAATGAGTGAAACAGTGAACGATTCTTGAGCACCTCGTTTAGATGAGAACCAGGTTCGTTCATTCATTTCGCTTTATTTCACGGTGGTAATGATTTACTGTTTTGGAAATCAGTTTGGTTTTCATCCACTAGAGAGCGCAAAGGATGAGAACCAGGTTCGTTCATTAATTTCACGGTGACAATGATTTACTGTTTTGTAAATCAGTTTGGTTTTCATCCACTAGAGAGCGCAAATGCACCATGATAAATATGTAGCAATGCTAGAGCACAAAGTTCCGTATGGTTTGTTATGAAGATGTATTTTCTGTATTTTTTTTATTTCATAGTACAGTATACACAAAGGCAAAGAGCAAGGTTAAAATGTTTAATAAATGTACAATGTCAAACAAGAGATAGTGAAGGCTTCAAAACGTAGTCATTTCATTTTAAGGTCATTCATTTAGCGTAAATGGTTTAAATGTGTTCAAAGGGTGTGCAAAACATACCGTTGGGAGTTAATTGTATGTCATGTTCATTTTGGATTGTAGCTCTTAGGGTGCGTTCACACAATGGCTGTCATAAAAGTTGCGAACCATCAGTTGAAGAGACCTCCAGTGATTCAATCATGTTCATTTTGTATTGTAGCTTTTAGGGTGCGTTCACACAATGGCTGTGTCATAAAAGTTGCGAACCATCAGTTGAAGAGACCTCCAGTGATTCATCAAGCATGTCAGAATTGTTGGAGTAGTACTGAGGGAGGCCCTCGATATCATGATTGAGAAACCTTCTCTAAAGAGGGGAGGGTGTTGTTTACGACACCATCTGTCTGCCACGCATAATGCTGTCCTGTCATGCCTTTCAAAGAGATTCATTCACTCGCACACTGCCAGCTGTTTTCAAAGCCGAGTTCCGAATATTGCCAGGCGGCCAAGAGCATTTGGACTCATCTTTCAAGACCTACAGATTGATTCTTCTGTGATAGTATGAGCACCAAAACTACTGGAGGTAAATGTGCTCTGTTTCGAAGAAAGAAAAAAAAATGTCTCAACCTTTTTCGCTCTTTCGCCTTCAGTGGTGGAATATAGGTTTGGGGATGACCACCTACCGGAGGTAAATGTGCTCTATTTCGCAGAAAGAAAAAAAAAGTCTCAACCTTTTCCGCTCTTGAGCCTTCAGTGGTGGAATATAGGTTTGGGGATGACCAAAAACGCCACTTTTTGACAAAAAAGCGGAAAAAATGAGCAAGTCAAGTAGAACAACAATTTTGACACAAATATTTTTTTGCTTTTATTACACCTCAAACCATGAAAGAATAAAAACAAAACTGAAAAGGTCTTTTGATTGCAAAATCATTTATTTGCAGAGAAAATGGAAAAGCGCAGAGAGCGACGCTGACTCATCGCGTGGCTCAAGTTGAACATCAGTGGCTTCATCATTCACTCCATGAACTGTCATCTTTTCACGACGCACACTTTCTACTGTCTACTAAGAAACATAAACTGGGTCCAAATTCATTGGCTGTATTCCCCAACATATTGTACAATAACGTAAAGTACAATTCTCAAACAACCTTTTGACCTTCTCTCTAATGTACGCTATGAATGTCGATCAATCTTAAATGAATGCATCATGAACCCTGAAAGTTTCTTTCAATCCTGAAAATTCATGGGGCTTAGTTGACAAAAACGAAAATGCAAGACATTTTTGCTCCAATTATAGTTAAGTTTTCGTTTTTATAAAGCATTTTCAATGTTTTTTCAATCTTAATCGTAGTTATTTTATTAGTTTTTAAAAACTGTAGTAACGTGTTGGAATTTATCTCAGTCGCCTCCTGCCACAGACCGTGACCCTCCTTCAGCATCTGACATCCACTGATTGCACTTAAACAGTGCACTACCTAACTTGAACCCGCAATAATCACAAGTGCCCTTGATTGTCTGTTTATTGCTATTTATTGTTTTATTTGTTTTATATATTTATCAGAATCAGAATCACCCTTATTGGCCAAGTATGTAGAACACACACAAGGAATTTGTCTCCGGTAGTACAGGCTGCACTAGTATCATCATAAACAAGGACATGAAAAATAAGTATGGAAGGACATTCCATAATGGAAGTGTACCTTTGTGCGGTGGTACCACCCAATGACAACTGTGAGACAATGCGCAAAGTATCAAACAGAGCTTAAGTGATCAGTGGTAGAATCTAATACTCAAAGTTGTACAGCTGGTGCAGAAAATCATTGTGTGCAATTATGCAGATGTCCTTGAGCGCTTTCAGTTGTACAGCTAGTGCAGAAAATTGTGTGCAATTATGCAGATGTCCTTGAGCGCTTTAAAGTGTCTGACTTGACGTTTAAATTTAATAGGAAATGCCTTTTTCCGTGAGAAAATCTGGATCATTGAGGAGTTGGCCATGATTATACAAGGTTATTGTTGAAGTCATTGATTAATTGTGAGTTTGACGTTCTGAAACGTGCCAGCTGGATCGTCCAATGGCAGCTTCGAGTTAAAAAAAAAAAAGTCCGACGTCGTTTCAGGTGTCACCTGAAACATATTCATCCGCGTCAGCGTAAACAGAAAACAATCCACCAAAAAAAAAAAAAAAAAAAGAAAACGATTTGACACACATTTGTTCATGAAAACGTACCATTCTGAAAGTAGGCATTTTTTCTAGACTTGACATCATGTCCCAAGACGGTGACAATAAGCAATCAAGTACAGTAAGTGTTTCATGCTTGCGTAGTTTTTAAGGAGTTCAAGTACAAGCATCCATTGTCAATAGCGCGTGTCCTGAACAGGGTCGCGGGTAGGGGTTGGGGAGTGCTGGAGCCTATTCCAGCTGACTTCGGGCGGACTACACCCTGAACTGGTCGCCAGTCAGTCGCAAGGCACATAAAGAGACAAACAAACATTCACACCCACATCCACCCCGTCACCCGGTGGGGAACCGATCCCACTGCCTGCACAATGTACCACAACACGATCAGTGACTAATTACAATCAATAAATCAAATATTCCTCTCTCTCTTGCGTTTGCACTGTGGTTGAGAGGAAAGAAATTTCATCTCTGCTGTATGTTGCACATAGAGCACATTTGACAATAAAGTTAACTTGAACTTGAAAATGTATCTTTTTGATCGAGACATAACAGCAAGATAAACAACCTAACTTGAGAATGCGGTTACTTCTCCAGTACATCAGAGAACAATGTGTGGAAATCGGGAAAGAGAGACATATAGAATGTATCTGGTTATCAATCAGTTCTGGACGCTATTGTAGCCAATTCGGTTCCTAATTGTGATTTTTAAACCAATTCTAAAAACAAACACCGTTATGTCCCCGCCATAACCGTGAGCCACGACGAGTCACAATGGTGAATGTGGATCATTTCAAGTGGTTTCAAGCGCAAACCTCGAGGTCAAACCATGAGGACCTTAGGAGCAAATTGGTGTCTAGTTTTTTGAGCGGACGTGCTCACTGCCTTGGAACATTCCCGACACGGTGCGTGGATGGGTGTGCGCGTGGACTAGTGTGCGTGTGTGTCAGCTGCCTCATCTCGTGTTGATGTCGAGTGGCTGCCACCGGGCCTGACGGTTAATAACGGAATAAAACACCCCCCGGCCCCCGCCCCGTACACGGAGCCCCCCTTCCACGACACCGTGACCCGACCCGTCCTGTCCGAAACGATGAGCCAGCCTCGGCCGGACGAGTTCAAGCCGCCCCCGGAGTGCCCGGTGTTCGAGCCCAGCTGGGAAGAATTTGCAGACCCGTATGCCTTCATCAATAAGATCCGTCCCATCGCCGAGAAAACGGGCATTTGCAAAGTCCGGCCGCCTCAGGTGAGCGTGTTCGCGGATGTCTAAACGCCCCTTTGGACGCGGATGCTCGCTCGGTCGCGACGCTTGTTGGAGGTGAAGCGGCGAGGGATTTAAAGGGACTGCTCAACATGGCGGATGAACGGCTAGGTTCATTCTTTGTGCTGCCGCGGCTCGCTGCGTCGATTTCGGCGTCGCTGGCGTCACGAGCGGTCCGATTTCGTCCGGCCCGGACGCTTTACTCGTCCCACGAGCGTGGCCCGAGTGGAACCGCGTTGTTGTTGGCCGTGTGTCAACAAAGCATCGGCGCTCCGGCCACTGAGACTTTGAGCTAAGAGGCTAATGCTAACTAGCAGAAACTGTCATGATGTAGCACACGGTGCTGTTGTCATAGGTGGATATGCGGAAGACAGCCTTGTGCCGTATTCGGCCAAAAAAAGTCATCATGAAGCACATCGCTTTTTGTCTCCCATATGGGCCGTCGCATCTGTGTGGATTCTCGGACGTTCTTTGCCGAAGAGCATCGCTCTGTGGTCGGCGTGACACCCAACACTTGTCATCAACTGTCACTTTATATGAATCTTCACAACAGAGGCTCTGTATAAATCCCGCTTTGGCCGGTGTTAAGAATGGACTTGACAAAGTCATCGAATGGCACCATAACAAGTACAGCAGGTTATGTAAATAACATGCAGTCATTAAACAGTTGTGCCTCTTAAAATGGAGGTGTATCTACCCAGAGCATGAAACCTAGAGAGTTTGATTTTCATTTTTATGGTGACCTATGACGGCTTGAAGACGAGCAAGCCTCCATGTACGATTTTCGAGCTAGTTTGTTGGGTGTCGTCCTCCATGTTGGCTTTGTGGTAAGCTGGCCGAGTGACTGACTGAGTCTTCCATCTGGCCATTTTGTGTGCCAGTGGGGGGATGTATGCTTCTTACTTGGAACAAAAACTTGGACCTCCCCTTTTGTGCGCGACCGTTCTTGTTTTCCAAGCTCAGCTGTGTAAAGAAGCCCTTTACATTTGGCTTTTTGGGGAGGCGGGGTGGGGGGTTATCTGTAAGTTACACCCCGAGGAAGATCAGAGCGATCCATGTCAAAAGGCCTTTTGTGTCAATTGCATATATCTATCATAAAAAATTACTTAAAAAATGTGAAGGCTTCACAAAGGAAAGCCGACAATCTACTGAGGCAGCGTATAAGAGCAATAGACTGTGGCCCCCAACGTAACAAGCCTACGACTTCCAGACAAAGGCTCATGTGCTGATATTGCTCTGTTGCTCTTCAGGGTTGGCAGCCTCCATTTGCTTGCGATGTTGACAGACTTCACTTTGTACCTCGGATCCAGAGGCTCAACGAACTGGAGGTGAGCGTTTGTTGATTTGGCCATATGTTTGCTGTCGTAAACACATTTGCGGTGTTTTTAGCACTGCCTCCCTTGGGTAAATAAAGATGCGTATGCAGGCATGAGAACCGTTGTGGCTTGAGAACTGTGAATAACGAGTGGGTTCATCAAACGGCGGGAGGTGTTGCGATCAGCAAAATACAGATTGTTACAAACGATTGTCTATCCCATCCCAGGCTCAGACGAGAGTCAAGCTCAACTTTTTGGACCAGATTGCCAAATTCTGGGATTTGCAGGGATGTTCCTTGAAGATTCCCCACGTGGAGAGGAAGATTTTGGATTTGTACCAGCTCAACAAGGTTGGTGTCATATAAACTGGCACTTTAGAATTGTTTGAATTGCCTAACGAACCTTCCCATTGCTGTCACGTCCCATCACAGTTAGTAGCGGAGGAAGGCGGATTTGACATCGTCTGCCGGGACAGACGTTGGACTAAGATTGCGATGCAGATGGGCTTCGCCCCGGGGAAAGCTGTTGGCTCACACCTGCGAGGACATTATGAGAAAACTCTCTACCCCTACAATCTCTTTCAAAGCGGCGCAAATCTGCTGGTAAGATGCGCGCCTCGTCGATAGGACGACATTGTTTGTTCGTGCTACAACTGATACAAGACAGCGGCGCCATGAGAAACGACTTTAATTGTTTCCGTGACCACGCTCGTAACGCTAAACCGGTCCTTCTCACACAGCCCGGACGCATTGTGGCAAGGGGCAGCTTAACTCATTCCCCCCAAAAAATTATCGCTGGGACAAAAAAAAGTTCTCATGGACACAACAGTAAGCTACAGTCAACGCCGTGACGAGACACAACAAGGGAAGGTGCTGGGTGAGCGCGTGATGATGCGCAACCAATCGGTTCACGGGTTGGATCCAGTCATGCCCTCACCGGTTGTTGGCGCGCCAGGAACCAATCACGTGCCTTGTATGAGTGCATCTTTACTGTACAAAGCCTCTGAGTTGTGCAGGGAAGCTGTCACGGAGCACCGCGTCTTTCCGCAATGCGGCTGCCAATATGGCTGTGTTTGGGTTTTGTTTTTCCATTTTTATTTCTTGATGATTCGAAAACAGCGCAAAACACGAAACACAAAGTGGCGAAAATCTCATGTGAGTCGTGTTACTCGTATCTCAAGGCACCGCTGAATCTGCAAACTGGCTTCTGGTGGGATTTGAAGTCTTTTATGTACGCCGTAGATAAAATGCGTTCACGGGATGTCCGCGATTGCGAGTGACTGACAACTGTGCTATTCTTTTCAGTTGATTGCGTTTCACCCCTCTGACACTGTTCAATAGCGGCTCATCAAAAAGTTTTTGGGAAGAAATCTGTGACTTATATCTTGCAAGAGAGCTCGTTATCGGATTGGCGCCCCATGACCTCTTAGTGCAGTTTGCTCGAAATAATTGAATTACATCGGCTCTCTCTCGCCTCAGACACCAGAGGCAGCTTCCAAACTGATGCGTTTGGAGGCTGATCCTGAGCGCGAAAAGGTACGTGGCCGCCACAGAGAACAAGTCGTCTTCCAATGAACTGCTGCATGCATGTTGTGTCTTTCTGGCTGGGTTTGATCCTGTTTTTCCAAGTCTTGCTTGCAGAAACAAAATGTTGTTGGAAGCGATATTACTGACCCTTTTAAAACTTGTCCAATTTTCTCGACTCAAAAGCGGACCTGTTTCTCAGTCCCAAGATTTCTGGACAGGAAAAACACGTCCCGCTAAAATGGAGTCAGCGTAACATCATGTCTTCTATTGCGATGTTTCCCAACCTTGAGTGGGCCCAGGCACCCATTTTGCACTCGAAAAATCTCGCCCCCATACCCCAAAATGTCACAACAAGTGCGATTACGAAACCAATGATCTCATCGCCACTGTCTTCACAAAATGAAATCAGTCCTGTGATGGATTTGCAGGAAAACTTCATTTATCCTGTTGTGTGATTGGCAACAGGTAGATGCACAGCTTCATGGCGCCGTTGGTCGTCCCGTGGAAAAGCACCGCCGCTATTTGTACAGCCTCTCCCTGTAAAATGCTGGTCGGGACAGATGAACAGATATAGCCGGGATTTCTATATGGTCAATAATTCCTGATAACTTTCCGAGCAACAAAGTGAAATGGGATCGTTTGTCGGTGCGGCCCGGTTGGGAATCACTTGTTTCCTTTCTTCACCCTGACACTGCCGCCTCATCTCAAATCTGGCCTCTGCTGGCTTTGGCGTGATGCTCTGTTGTTTCTCTTGCACGCTAACGACATCCCATCCCTGACCGTCATCGCTTTTGACCGAATGCTCAAGTCACCTTTTATTTGCACTCTGGCTGTATCCCTCAAAATGTCAACAACACCTTTTACAACCATTCATCGTGGCCGCCGTGGTTTGCACTCTGGCTGTATCCCTCAAAATGTCAACACCTTTTACAACCATTCATCGTGGCCGCCGTGGATGTCCTGTTGATTCGAGGCTCCTCATGAGTTCTTTTCTTTTTTTCCCCCTTGGAAAACGAACCATGCAAACATCGGACGCCCCGAATTCATTTGACATTGATGCCGTCATGAGTTGTGTAATGTCACCTTGAAGCGGATAGCCGCCATGAGCACAAATTTCTTGCACCCTAGCAAAGCGGCTCTTCAAAGCGGCATTCTCTTGCTCTTCTGCGCGAACCACTCGACCTGCGCATTCACCCGCACGTTGTTTGCTTCAGTGTGTTCAAAAGGCAGTCCACGCAGACCCGGAGGAGGGTGCCGAAAGTGCGGATCCGGTCGACATCAAGGAGCCGAACCTGCCTGAGCCACTACAGAGTCAGCCCCTCCAGATGGCCAATTCTTACCCCGGCGCTCGCAGAGGAAAACGCATGAAGTATGAGGTGGGGGTTGTTCACTCAAATGCTTCTCTCCGCATTTGTCACCAAACACGCAATGGATATCTAATGTCTGCACGGCCGTTCAAATGACAGGTTTTGTGATTTAATGTGAATAAATTGTTGTTCCGCCATTCATGTCACCTCCAGATTGTACAACTCTTTGGGGAACCCCCCCCCCCCAAAAAAAAAGAGCCAAATAAAGTGGTTGTAACAATTGCCGCTAACACTGTGAATTGGCAATGTTCAAAAATAAGCAAACCTATTCAAATTCATGCTAAATGGGAGTTGGCACACAGCCGCCACCATTCCGAGCACCTCTGAGGAAACTCAAATGCATTCCCCCCCACCCACCTTTTTTAAAGCCAAAGGTCCAGCTGAAGAAAAACAGCCCCAAAGTTTGAGTTGTGACATTTGGAGGACAGGAATGGTGGCACACGTTTTGAAATGACTTACCTTTGTCTCGTTGATGACGCCACAAAAACCTGGCATTTGAACGGCGGGTGGGGGGGGGAGACTTTTTCTGGCCGCTCTTTCCGTGACATTTCAGTGAGTCGGGTGACACCCAGGTAATCACAACGCAACATGAGTCAATGCGGTGGGCGAACAGTATGGTGACTGTAGTCAGGCCCAAGAAGAAAATCATTTTTATTTTCCAGTAGCACAATGTCCACTGTACTGACCAACGTTTTGGAAAAGCAGGGCTTCTTTTGGTGCTCAATTTTGGCTAGATGTCAGGGAATTCACCCGGACAGCTTGAACGTTGAATGAAAAGACTCGACTCAACTCGGAAACAGATTGTCTTTTGCTGATCAGCAAAAGGAACTTGTTGCAAGGCAATACAAGTCGTGTTTCCTCTCAAATCGAAACCTCACCTTCGCAGCCCCGCTGACCACTTTTTCTTCACAGGACATGCAAAATACAAGCAACATACCAAAAAAAAACATTCCTCCTTATTTGCATGTCGCGCTTCAACAGATTGTCTTTTGCTGATCAGCAAAAGGGACTTGTTGCAAGGCAATACAAGTCGTGTTTCCTCTCAAATCGAAACCTCACCTTCGCACCCCCGCTGACCACTTTTTCTTCACAGGATATGCAAAATACAAGTAACATACCAAAAAAACATTCCTCCTTATTTGCATGTCGCGCTTCCCCGCCCAGCCCACCGATGAGCCCCTCGGTGGACACCTGGAGACCAAAACATCTTCTGGTGCAAACAATGGATACCTTGTTAATTCAATGGGTAGATTTCGCATGAATTGAGACACTGTAACAAACTGAAGGACATCTTGTCATGCCGCCCTCCCGAAGTTGAACCTTCCTGTCCAGTTAATGAGGCCTTGGCTTCATTCAGCTAAAGTTGGCCCTTTTTTCTGTGTGCTCTCATTGTGTACAAGCTGTGTGAACACACGCGTTCGAGGTCAATCAAGCATATACTGAAATGAAACTTTGTAACATGTTAATATGAAGTTTGTCCTTCTCCATCAAAGGGTTAGCGCGTCGGCCTCACGGCGCAGATGCGCGGGGGTCCGAGCCCGGCTCCGGCCTCCCCGTGTGGAGTTAGCATGCTCTCCCCGCCCCCGCGTGGCTTATCTCCGAGCGCGACCGGTTGTTGGTCTGCGCGTGCCCCGCGCTGGGCTGGCAACCAGTTTGCGGGTGTCCGCCGCCTACTGCCAGGTGACGGCCGGGATGGGCTCCGGCACGCCCGCCGTCCTCCTGACGATAAAGCGGATCAGAAAATGGAGGGGCGGAAAGAAATGCAAAAACAAAATCCCCCAGCTAAGAACAACCAAGACTGCGTATAGGCGCGAGGAATGTTTCATTGACCCAGCGGAAAGATTTATCGATATCTATTTTTTACTAGCAGAGAGAAAACCATAACAAATGATCAGAGGGGAATTTTTCAAGATGGCCCACACTACTGCTGCGCATCGAGTAGGAACCTTTGCTTCCTCCTCCAGGTGGATCTGGTTGTGTGTCTGGTTTGTGGCAGCGGGGGCGACGAGGACCGCTTGTTGCTATGTGACGGCTGCGACGACAGCTACCATACCTTCTGCCTCATCCCCCCTCTGACTGACGTCCCCAAGGGAGACTGGAGGTGCCCCAAGTGTCTGGCTCAGGTAACGCCGCTTGATGTCAACAACACTGCCGAATAAAACAAGCGCAAATGTGACTGAATACGTTGTTGTCTTCTCGTAGGAATGTAGCAAGCCTCATGAAGCGTTTGGCTTTGAGCAGGCTTACAGGGACTACTCCCTTCGGGCCTTTGGGCAAATGGCGGATGCATTCAAGTCCGATTATTTTAACATGCCAGTTCACGTAAGTTGACTGTGGTTTATCACAAAAGAAATGATGTTTTTTTGTTTGTTTTTTTCGCAACAAACATTCTGATTGCTCGGGTTCATCAATCTCTTCCAGATGGTCCCTACGGAGCTCGTGGAAAAAGAGTTCTGGCGCTTGGTAGGAGCCATCGAGGAGGACGTTACCGTCGAATATGGAGCAGATATTGCGTCAAAGGAGTTTGGCAGCGGATTCCCCATTCCCAATGGAAAATTTAAGGTCTCGCCTGCGGACGAGGTAAACCGATCAGTCGTGCGCACCGTCCACAGCGATGGACGCATAAACGGCGAGGCCCGTCGCGGGACCGAAGCGACGGCCGCGCCTCATTGCGTGTCTGTCGGCCCGCATCTCTGCAGAAATACCTCAGGTGCGGGTGGAACCTCAACAACATGGCAATGATGAACCCGTCCGTCCTCACCCACGTGACGGCGGACATCTGCGGCATGACGTTGCCGTGGCTTTACGTTGGCATGTGCTTCTCCTCCTTCTGTTGGCACATCGAGGACCACTGGAGCTACTCCATCAACTACCTCCACTGGTACAAAAGACATCCTACCGGGAGCGACGCTCACGGACCTTTTCCGAGGCCAGATGAAGGAGGAGCCCGTTATATTGTTCCTGTTTTGCTTTGATTCACTCCAAGGGGGGAGCCCAAAACTTGGTACGGAGCTCCCGGCGGTGCTGCGGAGCAGCTGGAGGAGGTGATGAAGAAACTGGCCCCGGAACTGTTTGAGTCTCAGCCCGACCTCTTGCACCAGCTGGTCACCATCATGAACCCGAATACCCTGATGGCCCACGGGGTCCCGGTCTGTTTTGCGCATCGTCGGCACGCCACAAATAGCCTCTCCGAATGGATCCTCATTTTTTTTGGGGGGTTGGGGGCCTTCTGCTTCAGATTTATAGAACAAACCAGTGCGCTGGTGAATTTGTCGTCACCTTTCCCAGAGCCTACCACAGCGGCTTCAATCAAGGCTTCAACTTTGCGGAGGCAGTCAACTTCTGCACTGTTGATTGGGTAAGCGGGATTTGGGGATTTGCTCGGCCTTAACGTGTTCCCGGCGTCTCAAAAGTGTCACGTAACCTTTTCGATTTTCGCGCCGGGATGTTTTTCCGCACACGTCGGCATGACCTGACCTTGATCTTCTCTTCCCGTCCCTCCAGATGTCTCTCGGTAGGCAATGCGTCAGTCACTACCGCACGCTCCACCGCTAC